GGTGTGAGCATTCTAGCAGTGTACTCCAAGGACAACTATAAAAGAGTTACAGGGACCAGGTAAACATGGTTTCCACCAGGAGAATCTTTTGGTGCTTAAACCCAGCTCCCTTCCTTGAAGACCAGTTTATAAAAAAGTTTTTATATTCAATACCTTAAAAAAAAAAAACCTTACCCTCCTCAGTCCATCAAAAAGGTTTGATTGAATGTGTTAAAATATTAAAAAATAGTAAAAGGGTGACTTATATAAAAGTTAATGAAACACAGTCCTTGCCCTGCTGGAAACTCATCAGGTTAAGGGAAGAAGGTCACACCCATGAGCAGTTTTCCAAAAAGGCAGTACATATTAAGTGCCACATGAATGGCAGGGACAATGAGCAAGTAGAATCCAGATGGACGGATGTTTGGGATGTTCAGAAAGGGCTACAGAACCTCCTTGGTGCCTAGCACAGGACGAATTGCTTGAAATAATATGTCATACCAACCAGTAAACCAAACTGGCTTTCCAAAGACCAATTTTTTATCCTCAGGTAAATGCTCCAGCTGAAACTGGAATAGTTAACATACTTTACAGGGACTTTTGGAGTGCAGTGGGTGGGAAAACAACCCTGTAACCAAGGTTGTTGGGCATGTACACCCCCCGCCCCCAACGACAGATGGGCTCAGCTAACTTACTCGAAAAGAGGATCCTTTTTTGGAGCAACAACTTAAGGCATTAGTGCCATGTAGAAGTGCTTTGGGACATGGTATTGAAACCATTGTTTCTGATGGACCAAGAGACCGTGTAACTTCTCTGGGCCTTGGTATCCTTGTCTGCACCACGAAGGGGGTGTTCTTAGACAGTGTCTGCAGTCTTTTCTGCCACCGAAATCCTGTACTACTACTCACCCGTTAGGAGGAGAGCACTGCTTTTCTGTGGTGTTTCCATGACTTGTGATGGGTCTGTGTAAATCGGTGGCTCGCCACTGGGGAAGGGAAGATTTAGCACCTCGGGATTTTGGCAGTATTTGGAAACATATTATTCTGATTGTCACACCTGGAGGTGGGGTGCTTTTGGCTTCTCATGGCCAGAGGTCAGGGATACCACTAAGTGCCATAGGGCAGCCCCCTCCCAACAAAAAAGTCCTGAGCCCCAGAAGTCAATAGTACTAGTGTTGCACACACAGTCACACTCGCACTGAGTCCCACTTGTGCCCAGAATATAGGCTTTGCTCTAGACTAACTGCCATTAGGCATATATTTTCTCACTGAACTAAGCTTAGTATAGATAAGCTTATACAAGCTTCTTAATCATAGAAGAATCACAACTGATCCCATGGCCTCTTTAGGACTGTCAGAATAAAGAATATGTCAACTGAGCTGGTATTGCCTTAAAGAGTAATCTCCTCATAAAGGTACAATTTTTAAAAAATCATAGGGTCCTTCTCAGAAGTAGTCATGGAATTGGTAGAACTAGTCCCAAGATAACAACAAGCTAAACATTTTCCACAATCACAGATACTTACAGTTTTGTTGATTAACACTTAACAAATTCATAAATTACATCCCAGATACACTTTCTCAAACTTGGAGGTTCCAGGGATCTGCTAGTTGTACTAATGAACTGAGCTGCAAGTTCTTCTTCTTGGAAAGCAGCCAATGAGCTAATTGTGTTGTTGACTTATATCACGTGTCATAGTGCCTGTGAATTCCAGTTACTGGTAAATGCCCATTAATGACCAGCGCTTTGTGCATCACCAAATCCTGTCTGGATGCTCAGGTTTCCCTGCAAGTTCTCTTCAAGCAGTAGTTTTAGAAATGGGCTGCAGAGACTGCAGGGTAAGAGCCCTTTCAGGGGCAGGCAGGGGATGGGGAGGGAACAATTCTATGGGCCCTAGGTCCTCCTACTCCCACCAGAGTTGTTGTTCTGTCAAAGGGTTCTCTTGATCCAAATTAGAAAAGCGCTGATACAAATATTATGGTCAGCAGTGAACATTGGTACCTGAACACACTTTGGGGAACCACTGATCTAAGTAAATGACTTAAGCTATAATTTTGCTACTCCTCTTGTGAACTGATAGCTGTTAACTCCAGGTTTTTCATTATTGTATAATACCCTATTACCCCCTTAAACTAAAAGTGCTTTGGGACATGATATTGAAAGTCACATCATTACAGGATGCCAGTTTTCTTTTAAACATGATTTTAAACGATTCATTTCAATGTTGTGTAATTTTATTGCATCCTACATTAGGTAGCAACATTCTTTATTGACACAACCCCAACTTTATTATAGAAGTCAATGGAAAAAATAGGACTTTACAGCTGACATTATTAGAATGTGCAGCCTATTAAAAGAGGAATGCAAAGAATTTTGAAACTTGAGTGTAGAAACAGTACAGCTCATCTCATTGTTTTGGAAGCTATTTTAAGGGCACAAGCACTCAGTAATTGAAGGGTTCTTCCTACTTCTCCCTAAAATCCCTCACTACAGGTCTGTTGGGGGGTTCTTTTTAATGACAATATTCAACACCTGTTTCTAGCAATATGTTTTTGCCTCTGATTTGCTGAGGGTCTTCCTGGGTGCCTGCTGAAACAGATGAGCCTGACCACGAGCAAGAGAATCACTTGCTTAGATAATGCTTGGCAGGGCGAGGATATTAATAAAGTGCTCTTCCACGGCTGTGTGTTCTTCCCTCCTCTGCAGTGTCCTAGCAGCACACATACAGCGTCCCCCACCCAGCTCCGTGCTCTGTCTGGAGCCACTTGTCGTGTTCTAGTCGTACAAAGCACTTGTCCTCCTTCCTTCGTACCAACACCTCAATTGATGAGTTGCATTCTTTCTGAGCCAGCCAGTGTCCTCAGTTGCCTGTGTTTGGGGTAGGTTGGTGAATATCTTGATTAATAGAGATAGCTAATCTTCAAAGAAAGGTTACTAGTGTGGATGAAAGAAGCTAGAAATGTGAACAAAGACTTTTAAAAATGTATAGAGAGAAAACAAGACAAATCCAGACAGCATGCAAACAAAAAGTATAGGATATCCTGAGCTTTGTAGAGTATGCTGAGACAACATGCATGCCATGCCATGTTAAATGTAGATAAAGATAAACGTTCTTAGAGGAAATATAAAGTTTCTCCTGTGACTAGGTTATCCTGGCAATAATGTCCATCGAGCTCTTTATTGCCTCACGGTACTGCACCTTCTATTTGGCTAGTTGCTCTTCTGGGTGCCTACTACCTAATTTTCCACAAGAACCTATCATCTTAATCAAGCATGTTTTTGTAAGAATCACTAGTTGAGAAATATTACATAACAGTTACACTTTAGATGTGATTTAAAGAACTATGTGCCTGTCTACAGTCTGGAACCTTCTTGTTCACAATTATTGATAGTAAATATACTTTACCTTAAGTTTTTGTGTTTTTTTTCAAATTTAAGTTTTATATGACTTTAATCTCAACTTGAATTTTCTCTTAGAATTAAAAGTCAGTTACCAAACACATAGGGCTTCCAAGGCTAGCAGCTCTTGGAGCTTCAGATCGAACTGATATGAGCAATTTGCTCTTCTACATTTAACTCTTCTGCTAAATAGCATGAAAACCATGGCCACGTCAGTGTGCCTTTTCCTGCCAGGACTTGACTGATGACAGCTTTACTCTGAGTCTGCTCTCCCTTACCTCAGGTAACTGATAAAACACAGTTGAGTTCTTTCTCAACTACTGTAATAAATTTCTAATTTTGTCTGAAATACTATTTTAGAAGAATTCCACCCCCCTCAAAAAAAAAACAAACTGAAAGCTTTAAATCATAGTTGAGCATTGGAACCATTTTATGACCTTTGTTAACATTTTTGACTGTTGGTGGTAAGTAAAATGTTAATGACCTTTTTCAGAGTCTACTGGAGAAATGTCAGTATGAGATCAGTCAGTGGTTTCCTTTTAAAAATTTCTGAAGAGGTTGAATGAAATGATCTCTGCTGGAGACGCAAGGTCAGGTGGAAGATGCAGTTTGGGGCTGGCTATTCCTGGCAGAGTCCTGGCAGAGTTTGACTCTGTAGATGCAAGCTCTGCTTCATGTACACATAATTCCTTTTTCTAAGTATCTGTGTTCATCTACATATGGTTGTTTTGTTTTGTTTTTAATAGCAGTCATTTCTCTGTTTATTCACTGCTTTCAGACCACCCACATAAGAGAGATCATTAGTTGGCCCCCTTTTTATAGGTGAGAAGACTGAGTGAAGCACTTAGGTTAGTGGCTAGTTGAAGGTCTCACAACAGAAATCAGTGAGTCTTTCTATGGTTTTGTTCATAAATTTAGGGGCAAGTTTTGCTTGACATTTCTTTTTAGCTTCTGCCCTCTTTTTTATCCAATCTACCCTAAAGCTCTTTGATACCCTAGCACTTTAACTCAAGTGCCCCTTTATTTTTCTTCCTTTTTTTATTAACCCATTTTAGTGTTCTTGATGTAGTTGGGGACTTGGAGGGGCATATCTTAAAGTAAAATTTAAAAATAAACCTTATTGTTCCTTCAGTCTTGGAGGTGGAACATTCCTAGGCCTATGTTGCTTGCTGACTGGTTGTGAGACCTTTGAAGAAGCTCTGGAAATGGCAGCTAAAGGCGACAGCACCAATGTTGATAAGCTGGTGAAGGACATTTACGGAGGAGACTATGAACGATTTGGCCTTCAAGGATCTGCTGTAGCATCAAGGTAGAAACTAAATAGCTAGGAGCAGTAGTGATTAAACATAAGGCAGTCTCTCCACCCTGGCCATTCATTTAGTTTGTTTTTTTTTTATGTCAAAAAATACCCACCAGCCTGGTGCAAGTATCTATGGTATTAGAGCTCAGACTTGATCTGCTCTTTATGAAGCACTGCTATGTTTATCTCTTGATGCTTGTGCTTAAAATAGGGCATATATTTTTCCCCCAGATATCTAGAGAGATTTAAAAAAAATTTTTTTTTCCAATTAATAACCTTGCTACTTCATCCCTGCTAAGTCAAGGGCAGCCAGCCATTCATATTGTACTCCTGTCTGCTTGTAAATCATGGTAGCTGAATCAGGTCATTTGAGTTTGAACAGTTATTCATAAAGTTTTCCACAGTACTTTGATGGAAGCATGTAGGGCCTGCCCAAGGATGATTTTGAACACTCTCACTAATATTTCCAACATAGCTTTGGCAACATGATGAGTAAGGAAAAGCGAGATTCCATCAGCAAGGAAGACCTCGCCCGAGCCACACTGGTCACCATCACCAACAACATCGGCTCCATTGCTCGGATGTGTGCACTGAATGAGGTAAGGCCTGAGCCAAGGGACAGCCTTGTGTCATTCTCACACATCATCTTTAGCAGTGCAATCACTGTTGACCCATACAGAACTGTAGATCCTTGGGAAGCCTGCTCTTTGTCCTAGTGACACCTGTAGAATGTGAGAGGTGTGTTTGGAGGGAGGGGAGGAGTTATGTGTTGTATTTTTAAGTAGGCACTAGATGATAAATGATAAGCTATCTAGCCATGCAAACAAAGTAAAATTACAACCCATGCCATAACCTTCCTAACCATCTTCATTACCATGACCTGCTGAAGTGTGATGAAAAGCTGTAGGCATCCGTGCAAATAATTATAGGTAAAATGTTCCACTTGGAATATTCGATATTCTCTCTGCTTTCAGCTTCTTTACAGTGTTGCCTTGTGGCATGGAGTTCAAGCAGCATTGTACAGGGCTATCAAAGCACAGAGAGCTTGCTACAGCTGAGGCCAGCCAGAGACCCAGGCACAAGAAGGGATGGAGCTGGTGCTAGACAAAGCTTTGGTAACATGTTTTGAAACATTGCAGAATTCCTTTGAAAAAAATGGAAAGCTTTTCTGAAGTACAAGACAGCTAAGTAGAACATCTCTCACTGAGTTGTGTTAGGAAGACGAGAAAGAGGGGCTGGGCATGGAACAGGTAATAGGAGAAGTATTAAAAAATCAGAGTAGCATCAGTAATAGGGTTTTTTAAAATAAAAATTTTAATAGGAATATGGCATACATGCAGAAATGGGCTCAAATCATAAGTGTATATAGCTCAATGAGTTTTCACACACACCCACACCTGCATAACCACCACTCAGATCACGAGATCAAGCATGACCGGTACTTCAGTAACTGCCTCCAGTCCCCTGAAGAGTGGAGTGTTAAACAGAGTACAAGGCTTTTTGGTAGGTGGAAGCCAGCCCTGCCTTTCTCGGGGTTGCAAGAAAGACACTCTTTCTTTACAATATTGAGCAGAGTATGTCACTGGCCTGTGGGCCAGGGTCACAACTTTTTGTGAGTCCCCATTTCAGATGGAGTTTAAATGCAAGGCAGATACTCAGATGAAAGAATGTATTCCAGAGACGTGCCTTTCCAAGTCCACTTCAGTTATGGGACTCATTGTAACAGGATTTACTTTTTGACATTAACCTTTAAAGGGAGTTTTTCCGAGTAGCCAAACTGGCCCCAAGACTAATCTGTGTTTCGTTGGCTGTGTTAATGGATTCGCCAAAGTCAGTCGGATGCTAACATCCCGTGTGTGCCCCATAGAGCAACCGAATCCTTTCTCCTGCCTTCCACAGAGCTTGAGTGAGCCAGCAGTTCCTTTCACAGGAATTGTAACACTTTGGGGAGAGGGCAACTTGGATTTCAATTTCAATACCATTATTGGAGCATAGCAAAAGGGGCTGTTTGAAAGTATAACCACAGTTTCAGCAACTATTTTAGATGTTTCTGTGGAGTTGAATGAACAAGAGGAATCACGGATCACCTGGGGCAAGGACTGTGTTAGCTGGCGTCCTGCCAGGGCAGGCTCCCTGTGGACACCCCAGGAACTGGCCGCAGCACGTTGCCCTGTGAGAGCCAAAACACAAGGCCTTCAGTCATTGAAAGGTTCATGGGACTCAGTGCTGGCAGGACCTTTGATTGAACCATTTCATAGAGGGCTACCACATTTTCTGAATCTAAAATATTTTTGCTGATTGGAATGCTATGAAAGGCTTCTCCATCAACTTAAATTTTTTAAACAGAAAATACAAACACCTAATATAAAATTCCTAAGACACCAGAAGGGTATAAAGGGAAGTCAGTCACCATTTCCACCTCTGATTCTCAATGTAAAGTTTACTACAGGTAGCCATTGTTGGTAGTTTTTTAATTCTACATTGAATGCAATATAGGATTCACATATCCTTCCAAAGGCAGCAAACTCTATATAACATTCTTTTTCTTAACAGTGTTATTGAGATATAGTCACATACCATGCAGTTCACCCCTACATACTATTCCACATCTTGTTTTGATTGTTTGTTTATCAACTTTTTGTTGTGAAAATCATAAACCTGCATAAAAGAGAGAGAATAGTATTAAAAAAGCTCCATATATCTATCAACCCAAAGTCAGTAGTTATCATATCTTGCCATACATCCTTTATCTACCTCTGTTTTCTTCCCCCTGCTCCTCCTCCTCTCTTTTTTGCTAAAATGTTAGAAAGCAAATTCCAGACATAATCAGTGTACCATACATACTTCAATATGGACTTCTGGAAAGATTGCTTCTTGCCTTTTTACATGATAATACATCTGAGTGTTAATACCTTTTTCTGTTTCAACATTGTTTCTAGAAAGAATTCTCCTGTGGTTTCCTCTAGTCTCTCTACTTTTTTTTTTTGGCATGTATGTGTTTGACCCACCTGGAATTTATTTAGAGTGAGGAATGTCCATCACCTTTTAATGCCACTTCTTTTCTTCTGGCCTTCTACCAAAGTAAGGCAGGACTGGGACTTTGAGCAAGTCCTACCTTGGACTCCCTTGGTTTGGGAGAAGAGTCAGAATTTGTAAATTTAACTGAATTCCTCTTTAATCTGACTTTCTTATTCTGAGTATTCCTGCCACCTTTCAATCTGGGCAGTTTGTGGCAATAGTTCTTATTTGTGGAAACTATTAAAACCAGCTCTCACCCCTCCACTCATGGAAAATCTTCACAGTAGTTAATGGGTTCATCAACTTGTATTGTTACAACTTGAGATGGTTAAAAGGCAATGTTCCCAGACCCTGATTACTTTTGATAGACTGCACAGAAAATAATACAGCTTCCAAGACACCCTTCCCTTCAGTATGAGTGACCCTAACAACTGGCTATGACTGAGGGAGTGGTGAGCAGCCTCTGCATGGCCGATAGGCTGGGCCCTGTCTTAAGGCTGTGTTCAGAATGCAGATCTAGAGCCATGACAACAAAAATACAAATGTATTTTTCGTTACCATATTTTAAACCCTCATGTTGTCCAAACAGGCTATTCCACCGTATATCCTAAGTAGAGACCTAAGGAGACTAATGGTTCCTTTTGTATTTCGAGTGTTTGGCACAGAGCAAACTGAGCAAACTCATTAGATGAATAAGCCATACCATGGCCATTTTATTTGTGAAATGGTTAACAGATTTTACAGTTGGAAGTTTATGGGGATTGAAGGAATGCACAAGCAAAGATAGCTACACTTAAACTCCAATTACAATTTTATATACATATGTTGGGAACTGAATCAACATGACATAATACCTGCAAATAAGCCCCATATTGATCTCTGCCTTGCCCGATGAAAATCTCACCTTTTTGCTCTTGTGGAATACACACTGAAATCTGTTCCACTTTGTCTTGGAAATGCTGAAATAATGCCACTGGGAAAAAAAGTCACTCTGCAAGGTCCTGGGAGTACAGCGAAGTACAAAACGTTGGGTCTTTGCTACCTGCTATTTCTATGCCATGGTTCAGTTGCTTTTCTTTAATTTTTTTTTTTCCAGAATATTGACAGAGTTGTGTTTGTTGGGAATTTTCTCAGAATCAATATGGTCTCCATGAAGCTGCTAGCATATGCCATGGATTTTTGGTCCAAAGGACAGCTAAAAGCTCTGTTTTTGGAACATGAGGTAGGTTGAACTTGCTTGGATTCAGTTGTCCCTCATGGAGTATATTTTGGGTTGTCCAACTCTCGAGTAAGTCTCTTAGTTTTAAAATTGATCATGTAGAGTTGCCATTTATGCAAAGGATAAGGAAGAACTACATATAAAATGGGAGCTTTCTTATCCAATAATCAGGATCGGTATTTGGTTAGCCGAAAAAAGTCAGTTAAAATGGGTAATCATTAAAAAATACCTTTCTACTTTAACAATTTTATTTTAACGTAAAAGGTCCAAATGTTCATTCAGTCATCAATATTTTCATGTTATGACCAAGACCTATTTTTGAGCCTGAAGTCTGCTGATTAGAGCTCAGCAGTTACACTTTTTAACATAATCCACCTTCTTTGATTTCTCGTTTGTTTCTTTAAAGAGGGTAAAAAATTAAAGATATTTACATGGCGATTTAGTTGCATAATCCTTCTAGATTTTTCCCTTAATCTTTCATGTATGGAACCCACCTTAATAGAGAGCAATGACTTGTGACTACCTTTTTCAGTCTTGTTCAAGAATGTGATTGGATTTTCATAGACAAGACCATTCAATTTGTACTCTTTATTGGTTTAGGTGGCATGTAATTAAATTAGATTATTACATTAACAGTAAAATGTCATAAACAAAGTTGAAGATTAACACAGCAGACTGTCCAAATAAATAACTTTACTGGTGAGAACAGAAGTGCTTGAGCTACTAAGGGTAGCCTGATGTCCTTAAGAGGCTGGTGTCCATGGGCATGACCTAGCCTGTTTACAGAGGAAATGGAGAGCATCAACTGATTCAGAGAGTCCCTTGTATTGAGTTTCTACAGTTTCATAAATCAGAGGTTTCTAAGAGTGGGGGGGCCCTCCTCTTTTCTCTCACCTCCTCTGCCATCCCCTTTAAAATCAGTACTGTAGAGGCAACTGTTTATTGTAGGAAGTACCTAATCCCTTGGGCATATTGCAGCAAAAAGAAAAACACATGGCAAGAATGAGTATCATAAACCTCAGTTCTAGTAACTACTGTGGCAAATACTTCTCATCTCCAAACTGAACTATTTCTATTTGAAAAGTTGCTGATGCCTTTATAAGCTGTTTAGAGCTCTCTAAGCCACATTTTGTTTTAGTAAAGCATATAAAACAACAGGAACTTAAATTCTAAGTAGTTAATGCCCAGTGATAGAAATTAATACTAAAGAAAGCATATTCTTTTCAAGCAGGTTCAAAGGCATGGGGTGATAGAACTTTTGGTTGGGGAGGGGGATGGAGTCCCAGATTTTCACTCCTCCTCCCCCAATCAGAGCAGCTCCCTTTTTATCTGCCTATTTATCGAGTTTCCACACAATATTTTGCTTGATACAGAAAAAAGCACCTCAGCTTTAAAAAAATAATTAAGATGAAAAAAGAAAACCACTGTTCTGGTCCAGCTGGAGTTGCCATATTTAGTGATTAAAAATACAGGACACATTTATTTTGTCTGGCATTTATCTGTATTTTATCTGGCAGCCCTAACTGCAGATCCTTTTGGGCTAATGCAGAAAACAAACCCCGGAAGCCTTCAAGGCTTGAAGCCACCCCAGCAGCAAAGTCACACGAGTAGTTAGTTGAATAAGGGATAAGATACAACGTTTTGAGAAAACTCACTTCTGTAGGTAAAAATGCAGTCATCTTTGTTACTTTGTACAATGCTAGGCCTTGGACTAGGCTTTGCTTTGTTATCCTTTGTAACAGAGTTCCAAAGATAACTCTTTGTAAAAGAGTTACAACAGAGTTGTAGAGAGTTATAAGCCTTTGTAAGTATCTCTCAGAAAATTCTCTGTATTCTCACTGTGGCTTAGGCAGGCCTTCTTGCAGGTTCCTACAGCGAGAGAACTTTCGGGAGGCACTAGGATGGTGGCTTTTCTGCCTTGCCCCAGGGGACCCCCCTCACCCAGTCTCTCATTCATTCAACTGATATTACTGAGAAGTAGCCCCAGCTGAGCCAGTAAGAATACAGCTTCTTACTGACCAGACCTCAGACAATGACTCTACCTCTCCACCTGTTTCAGCATTTGTCAAGTGGGGTGCTTACAGTATTGTCCATCAAGTTATTGTGAGGAGTAAGTGAATAAATACAAGTAAAGTGCTTAGAACAATTTCTAGCATATTATAAAGCTTCATTAAATGTTAGCTGGAGGCAGCAGAAGCAAGGCTCCTGCCCTGTGGCACCAGTCCTGACACCTTGTCACCCATTTCTGCAGTAACTTTTGAGTCAGACAAATACCAGAGGAGTGGAGTCTACTGCCTTTTGCAAAACAGGTTCTCTAAAAATTTCTATTTTTCAGTGACTTTCATTGTCACAGAAATATGGACTTTTATTTTGCAGATTAACAAAGTGAAGCTTGGGCTAATTTAGATGCCTTTCCAAGATCTATCGAGGGAAGCTTAGAGTTCTTTGCTGTGAGATATCAACTCTGAAGTCAGACCAGATTTGGAGCTGAGCCGTAGGACAAGCATATGACCCTGTAAGGGCAATTTACTTTATTACCTCTTATGTCTCACCTGTGAAATGGCGGTAATAATGTGAATTGCCATGGCAAAGATTAAAATGAAATTATAATACAATATCCAGCACTGATGTAGCATATACTAAATGCCAGACATTTTTCTAAGTTTTATTTAAATCATTGTTAACTTATTAAAAAATATATAAACAAGCATGTATGTATGTATTATTATGCCACCATGTTCATGGCAGAGTTCCAGTTTTAAATTTATCTACAACCATAGGGGGCAGCATTCTTAGAATTATTAAAGCCATAGTTATTTGGCTGAGGTTCAGAGGCATTCCTACAGAGGGTTTCCTGTTGTTTTTGTAGGGTTATTTTGGAGCAGTTGGGGCACTGTTGGAACTGTTCAAAATGACTGATGAGCAGTAGAGATGGAACAGCCTTCTATGAGAACAGAAAACTAGGAACAGCCGCTGGAGAAAGTGAAAGCTCCTTTGGGACGGAAGCCAAGCCATTATGGCAGATGAACCTGCTGGATTTGTAAATAATTAAAAATCCTTTTAGCTGATCTTTTACCCTGGGGTTTTAAGCTTATGATTCAAAATGGGGAATACAAGAGTTTTTTCTGTATACTGTATTTTTAAAAAAAAAACGTTTTGTGCAGTGTGGCCAAACCTACCAATTTTATGCATTAACATTGGAAAGTTGTATGATGTTTAAGAAGGACCTGAAATGTAAGTGCTGTTTATTTTTCTTCTGGGGTTTACTGATCAGTGTGGTAATTTTAACTTCATTTAGTAATTACTCTAGGAGATTTTACCTTTACTTATACTTTTCATGACGTTTCATGATTTGCTGTTGGTTTCAAATGAAACTACAAATCTGGCATGTTTTACTGTGAACACTATTTTGTTTGTTTATCCTTTTCTGTCTTGGTTTTTTTTCTGTCTGAATGTCTTATGGATAAAGAGAGTCCTTCCCCCTGTTTTTGTCCTCAGATAACAAGCCGTCCACCCCAATAACTTTCTTTAATGGAATTTTTCCTATTTACCAAGGTGCTGACCAACTCAATGCAAAGTTAAGCGTGAGATCTAAAGCTCTCAAAAGCTCTGTGAAGAGAAAACTCTGAAGGTGTTTGTGAATTTTAAGTCTTGCAAAAGTTGAAAATTATATGCAAATTTGTCTTAACCCTTATGAATATACCCTGCTTTCTTGGGTTTATTTTATGTTAGGTTGCATTAAATTGGAATGTTCTATCATGAAATGTCCTCATCCACGCACAGCATATAAATGGCAGCAAATCTGTGCAGGACTTTGGAACATGCAGGGCAGTCTCCCAGTAGATTAACTGTTCATATTGGGAGATTTAGGAAAAATCATGGGTTGAAGTGTCATATAGTCATATCTATTTGTTCTGTACATGTATGTACCTAGAAGTTTTGTAAGAAGGCATCTTGAACAATAAAGCTTTTTCATTTGGAAGATTTTTAACTGAGAACAATTTCGATCCCAGTTTCTAAAATTAAAAAAAAATTATGATATTGATCTATCTATCTATATATATATATATTTTTTTCTTTTTGAGAAGCATCATTGGGACCGATGGGTAACTTTCAAATGACAGTCTTGCACAAATATCGAAACGCATGAGATCTAATGATTTAGAACTAATTAATCTTTTGAGTTGAGCATATTGTTGATATTTTTGAAGGGCAGAACAATTGCTCCATGAGGAATCTTTCCCTCTCTGCCTTATGAGCACCACCTTTGAGTTCCGTATCTTCACGTCTTGAAGAAGTTGATGTAATTGAAGTATTCACTTCGTCTGGTTGAAATAAAGCCTGTTTCTGTTGTGATGTTTTTAGTGTATGTGTTATTTTCATTTCTTAATCTTCATGTTCATACTATCCACTTTTGTACCATAAAATGAACGTATGTTGTATTTCTGCTATTCTACATTTCACAGAGGCTTTCCTGTAAGTGGTAGGTTCCAAAACACTGTGTCTTCAGTTGAAGCAGTAACTCTATACAGCGACTTTTTTTTATATGTAGCTTTATTGTTCGTATACAACTAGCTCCTTATTGTCAAAATATCACTACTATATATTTAGTAATTCTGAAAGAGTTTCAAAATTTAGTCATTGCAAATACATTTTATTAGTTCTTGCTTGGCTTAAAACTAAGATGTTCTTGAGAAACAGAAGTGTAAAAATCTGCATATTCTCTATGTTGGTGCCTTTTTGATTGTTCTCTTCTACCATTCCTACTCTCATCTTCAGGGAATAGCAGACCTTGGATCATGGTTCTGCAAAAGAAATCAGGGCAAGTTCATGTGACTGTCTAATTTTTTAATTGTCTGGGATCACCTGATCCCTCATTACAAATGTGTAAAACATTGGTTTAGCTGAAGAAATAAATTATTCTATTATACAAGTATTAGTTAAATGTTGGCTACCTATAGCCATACTTTTTTTTTTTTATAATGAGGAGCTTGTAGCCTGAGAAATCACTTGAATTACAGAAACTTTTGCTCAACATCATGAAGAAACCTGGCAAGACTAAAGAATTTTTATCTCGAACTATATGAAGTCTGGATGGTCAAGTGTCCAGAGCCTGGCTTTTGATTGTGAGACAGCTTTAGTTTAGATCCAGTTCAGCCTTGACTAGCTATGCAGGCGAGTTGCTAATCCTCTATCTAAACTCTAGCTTCCTCACTCATAAAATGGAGCAAATACTAGTTTTTACTTCCCTGTTTAAATTGCTTGGCATAGGGAATTGCACATAATAAATGCTTCATTAAAATGTTAGCTAGCCTGAAAAAAAATTTTGATGTCTTAAGTTAATGCATTAAATAAGTGATTTCTAACCTTCTGGAATGTGGGGAACCCTCTTTAGCCTGGAGATACTGATCTCCATGTGCTAGTACACGTCCACAGTCCTGCGTCCATAATTCCAAAATCTCAAACTCTTTAAACTTGTCTTGATAATTCACTTGAGGAAAAAAAACTGACTTGAGCATTATATATCACTCTGTAGGACCCTTAACGTGTTTTGTTGCAAAGCTATTAATATGTTTGATTACAGGGTGGGTACTGCCCCACACCCTAAGAGGCGTAGTTACATAGTGAACAATTTTGAATTTTGAAAAACATCTAGTCCCAGGAGTTTGAGATAAAGAGATTGTGGAAATATAGTAGTATTCTTCAGCTTATGTTGTGTGCATGGATTCAGAGTCCTTTTCTTGGGAACTTGTAAAGGAGTGCAGAGAGCATTAAGAGTCAGGAAAAAGAACTAATAAAACTTAGCTAAACCT